AATAAAATAAAATAAAATAAAATAAAATAAAATAAAATAAAATAAAAACCAGGTTCTGCCATAATTGTCAGTGAGTTTATAAGTACGTTGTGTTAGAATTTGTGTATAGCACAGTAGTTTGCTTTCAGTTTCCAGAACATAAACAGTAGTAAATAAAAAAATTACAATGCTTTTGCCTTAAATTAATGGAGAGTTTTATAGTTTGAAACACACACACACAGGGGCGCCTGGGTGGCGCAGTCGGTTAAGCGTCCGACTTCATCCAGGTCACGATCTCGCGGTCCGTGAGTTCGAGCCCCGCGTCGGGCTCTGGGCTGATGGCTCAGAGCCTGGAGCCTGTTTCCGATTCTGTGTCTCCCTCTCTCTCTGCCCCTCCCCCGTTCATGCTCTGTCTCTCTCTGTCCCAAAAATAAAAATAAAAACGTTGGAAAAAAAAAAAAGAAACACACACACACACACACACACACACACACACACACACCCCCATATGACCCTCATTATCACCCTACAAAGTGAAAAGGGCAGCTAATGTTAAATGAGTTTGAAGACAGTATGGCTGTTGACATCTGTCACTCCGGTTAGGATCACATATTCCGACAGGTGTGCCAGAGATTCCCTTACTTCCATATACTTCATTGTTCTGTGTACAGTTGACCCTTAAACAACATGGATGTGAACCATGAGGGTCCACTTATATATGGATTTTTTTTTTCAGTAAGGACAGTAGAATATGCGTTAATCAACTGCTTATGTTATTGGTAAGCCTTCCAGTCGATAGTAGGCTATTAGTAGTCAAGTTTTGGGGAATCAAAAGGTAGATGCATTTTTCAACTGTGTTGGCAGTCGGCATCCCTGACCCCTGCCTTGTTCAGTGGTCAACTGTATTTCCATCCTAAAAGTGCACACAAATCAAAGAAGGTAACATTCTCAGATAGGAAAGGGACTGAATGTTCACTGAGTAGAGGCAACTGTTTTGTACATTATGATATTTCTATTAGTAAGCCCAATGCTTGAAACACTATAAAGTCTCAAAAGATGTTGAATGAATGAATGAATGAATGAATGCATGGTGATACAGCATCATCACACAGTTAAGAAACTGAGATCCAGAAAAATCATGACTTCCTTAAGATTGATGAATTGATTCAACAAGTATTTTGTCACACTTTTACCGTGTACTGTATATTCTGAGTCTCAACTGAGAGAGCAGTGCATGAGACATACAAGATCCCTGCCTCATAAATAAGCCAGACACAAAAACACAAATATTGTATGGTTCCACTTACATGAATTATCTGGAATAGGCAAGTGCATAGAAACAGAATGCATAGAGACCAGGAGTGGCGGGTTGGGGGGAGGGGGGAATGGGAGTTATTACTTAGTGGCTACAGTTTCTATTTGGGGTGATGAAAAAATTTTGGATGAAGATGGTGTTGGTAGTTACGGAACATTGTGAATGTAATTATGAGCCTGTGTTATACAC